GAGAGAGAGAGAGAGAGAGAGAGAGAGAGAGAGAGAGAGAGGAGCGATACAAGATTGGTTGTGCAGTCCAAGACAGGAGGTGGTGGCCATAACCGCCGAAGCTCGGACACAGGGTTATAAGGGAGAAAGAAGGTCAAGTAGAGGAGAAGCAAGAGATGAAGGAGAAAGAAATCATAGCCGAGGAAGGAGAAGGGAGAGATGAAGAAGGGAAAAGAAAGATGTAGCCGGGGTGGAGGAGAAGAAAGGGAGAAAGAAGGAAGGTGGGAGAAGGCGAAGTGAAGGTTGAAGGGAGACAAGGGGTCGGCAGCCATAGCCGAGTTGGTCGTTGACCAAGGTGTTGACCGGGGAGTTGACCGAGGAGTTGACCACGGTTGACCAAGGTGTCGACCGGGAGTTGACCTGGAGTTGACCGGGGTTTGACCGGGGTTTGACCGGGGTTTGATCAGGGGTTGACCGAGGTGTTGACTAAGGGATTGACCGGCATTGACCAAGCGTTGACCAAGCGTTGACCAAGGTGTTGACCCGAGCTGTTGACCACGAAATTGACCAAGCTCGAGTCGGTATATTCTCGCCAAGCCTTCAGCCTATCCCCTCGCCCTATGGATGTGCACTCACCCATGGTACTTGCTGAGTCTGTCTGTCTCTTCTTTCTGCATTGAGTCTCTTTTGTCCAGGTGATAGGAACTCTGTGTATGAGGTCGTAGAGCTTTGTTGACCAAACCCACATAGGCTGAGTAGGGCTAAAGGCCGTGTCTGACGACTGACTGACCCGGGGGACAGCCCTCCCAAGGACCGGTGCAGGCCGGCGGGCTGCTAAGCGTTGCATGGTAGGCCCAAAATCCGAGTTGTGGGCTGCACAACAAGCTGTCTAAGTCTTGAGAGGACTTGCTGATCGCGTCGTTCTGTCTGCGATGTTAAATAATTCCTGAGGAGTTACAGAGGATCTCCTTAAATGCCTCCTGATCAGCATTAAGTCGTGTGGTGACAGCTTAGTAATAGGTCTAGGCTAGAGACCATAGTTGACAGGGTCCTACCCTGATCCTGTCGTCCTTAGAGAGTCAGTTAGACAGTCAGTGGGTAGGTCTAAGTGGTGAGGAGTGGGACAATCATTGTCGCACCAACACCATGGATGACTACCATATGTACGGCTTGCTCGTGGGGTTCTCCTTGTGGGGGACCCTCTGGCGTCTCCTCTTTCCATTAGGCTTTTGGAATGCCTTCACGTGTAGAGTTGACACGAGGGGTGGTGCTAGTACTACTCCCTACACGAAGGACCAGGAGGAAGAGGCCGCCAGGATTCTGGCCAAGCAGAAGGCCAGGAAAGAGAAGAGAGAAGTGGCGAAGCAGGTCAAGAAGTTGGCCTTGTTGGAGGAGCAAGCCGCGAAGAAAAAGAAGTTGGAAGAAGAGCTCGAAATGTTGAAGGAGGAGGAAGAAAGGTTGAAAGCAGTAGAGGCAGAAGAAGAAGAAGAAGAGAAAAAGGCAGAAGAGGAAGTTCCCCTGTTCAGAAAGAGTTTCAGGGACAGAGGGGAATCCAGTGGGACGAAGAAGGAGGGGGACCCGTGGTTGGAAAAGGTGTCTGAGTGGGTCGCCAATCTATCCTTGGGAGAAGAGGAGAAGGCGATGTTGTATGTCCCAGGGAAGAACAAGAGGCGATTATAAGGGAGTTGGAAGCCGAAGAAGATCCGCTCAAGCGTCAGACGATAGAAGAGGAAATGTGACGGGGTTGAGGCAGAGCAGCCAGGTCGGGGAAGAGAGAGGGAGGGAGTGAGAGCACACACACACACACTCACTCAACTTGACACGGACTCGACACGACTCGACGGACACGGACACAAAGTGGCAAAGTGGCAAAGTCGAAAAGTCGCAATCTTGGTTCTGTACACAATGTCGCAGCAAGGCACACTGAAGCACAAGTACTGAGGCCGAAAACTGCATCCCCAAACTCAGCTTGAGTCTGGTCTTAAGTACCCGACTCAAGTTGAGTCCGAGGGCAAAAGTGCAATTTGCCTCGGGGCTGAACTGAAATCGAAGGTTTGAGCCTGGGCGCCAGAATGCCGGATGGCGCCAAGTACGAAATCCAAAAGTGGCAGAGGCGGGATTTGAGAACGGGCGCCAACAATCAAGAACCAGAGATCAGAAACTAAAAAAAAAAAAAAAAAAGAATAGCAGCCTGGCGGGTGGTACCCCGCGAACCAGGGATCGAGCCCTGGCTGAGTCCGTAACGGGAAAAGAAGTTAGAATGGAAGTTGTGTCTGATCAGGGAAAAGAAGAAGAGGATGGAGCAGGCGAGTAAGGCAATAAAGGCGTTGGAAGTGGTGAAGGAGCAAAAGGCGCTGATGGAGGCACAACCGGAGTGGCAGGGGAAGATGGGAGTAATGACGAGAAACATAGAACTTATAGGAAGGGCCCACGAAGAATAGTATCAGTTTTCAAGGGGCCAGGAGGTAGCCTTACGATCCATACGATTGGGGTTTAGAGAGTTCGCACGCGAAATGATGATGCACGTGGGCACGGAGGTGAAGACGAGATTAGAGAATACGGAGCGATTTTGTACAAGGGTTATAGAAGGCGCGAAACTTGCTGCTCCAAGGGAGGAGGAAGTTCGTCCCCGTAGAGAACCTGTGAAGGTGAAGTTCCCTGATTCCTACAGCGGGAAGGAGGAGGAAAACTTTGATAACTGGGAGTCAAATGTAAACTCCTATGTACACCTCCAGAAGATAGCTCTTGAGGAACATGTCCTCATAGTTTTCCATGCCCTTGAAGATGAAGCAGCTAGCTTCGCTAGATCGCTCTGCTGTGCTGCTAAGTGCGAAAATGATATGGTCGCGTATTCCCAAATTACCCCCCTGGGTGACTTCTTTAAGTTACTGCGCGAGAGGTTTGCAGATGTCACGTGAAGTGTTAGAGCTTCAGACAAACTGCAGACCATCCATTCCCGCCAATGGAGGAGTGCTAGGACACTCGAGGGCGTTATGGATGAACTGATCGCCGTTCCTGACCATGGGGTCATTGGGACTCATTTGGTCAATCTATTCTATCATGCCATGCCCGAGCCCTTGCGCGGGCACTTCTTTAAGAAGAGTCAAGAGTCTACGCTGACCTACGATACTTTGAGTAGGGAGGTGGTAGCATTTGAAGCACGGTCCATGCCAATTTCCACTTTCTGGCATAAGGAACTTGACATGGGCAAAAAGTGGAAAGGTCGTACCACCTCTGGCCAAGTCAAGGCCAAGGATCACTTTATCCTGACTTTAGATGAAGGTGGTGTGGAACAGGTCCCTTATACACAAATAGCGTGGGGCCTGGAGGAAGATGACAGTGGCGATAGTCAGGGGAGGACTTACGCTGCTGTCGCAGTTGGAGGGAGGCCGCAAGGTAGAGGAGGAGGCCGGGGCCAAGGAGGTCAGGTTTCCAGTGGTCGAGAACAGAGCAATCAGGGGGTTGGTGGCAGAGGAGGCCGCCAAGCGGAGGTAGGGGTCAAGGTCCCCCACAAAATCGCTCCAGTTTCAATCGGTCACCTAGAAGGAGTGAATGGCACCCTGGTCTGCCACAAGGCAGGCCTTGGGAGGATCTGGGCTTAGAGCAAACAATTTGGCAGCAAAGGATAAACCAAGATCACTGCATTTATTGCGGTGATCCTGGACACATCATAAAATACTGCCCTAGATATAGAAAGGCTCGGTTTGCTGCACAGGCAGCAAAAGGCAACCGTCGGTAGGGGTTGCAACTGCCCTTACCCCTAGACCATGTGGAGAAGAGTGCGCGCACCACACAGAAACTCCCAAACCACATGCGTCTATGGCAGAGGTGGTTGGCCAGTGCCTCAATACCACATGCGTCTATGGCAAAGGTTGCAGGCCAGTGCCTAAATAGTTGTCCAGAGATTGCTTGTGTTAGAGTCTCTCTAGGAACTTCCCTTACAGGCGTGGCAGAAGAGTTGAAGGAGAGGATGCCGGTCTGGGCCAAAATGAAAAAGGATGCGAAAGGACAACGAGTTTTAGTAGATGTAGAGGTCTTTAGAGGTAGAGTAGGGGCCCTTATAGACAGTGGGGCCACCCGCAGCTATATTAGTAGGAAAGCGCTGCAGAAGCTGAAGTTAAATCTGAAAGTCCAAAAGTTAGAAGACCCTATAGTTAGTATCCTCGCAGACAATCACACTATGCGAGTCGAGGATTAAGTAGAGGGAGTCCAGGCGTATTTTCGCCTAGAGAAGGATGGGAACGTGGAGAAAGTTCTCCATTCTCTGACTCTCCTCGTAGAGGACAACCTTCCTCTCGACATGGTCCTGGGAATGGACTGGGGAGAGGCAGCAGGGGCCACACTCCACTTGAGAGAGCATGAGTGTAGGCTCCCTAGTCCATCAGGTGATATCAAGACTGCTCGACTGTTCCATGCGTCAAGAGTAGACAACTCCCAAGCACATTGTTGTCTCAGTGCTCCCGCGTTTGCACGATCAGTGAGGAAGGAGCAATTAGAATAGCAGGTTTTTGTAGCCTATGTTAGGCCTGTTACTAAGCCTACGAAAGAGAAGCCTATGGAGCCAGTCATTGCCAAGCTGCTGGAGGAGTATACAGATTTAGCTCACCCGACTGCAGGAGTAGTGTCGCGGCCGATCCAACATCGCATTGAGATAAAGCCTGGCAGTAGAACTCCGAAGGGGGCCGTGTTCATAATAGATGAGCTCCTAGAGAAGGGTTGGATTAGGCCCAGTTCGTCTTCGTTTGGAGCACCTGTTCTTTTTGTTCCCAAGAACGAAGGAGAGCTTCGCATGTGTATAGACTATAGGGGTCTCAATGCCGTTACCGTGAAGACTGTTGAACCACTTCCCCGCATAGATGATCTGTTAGATCGGGTGCAAGGTTGTAAGTACTTCTCAAAGATAGATTTAAAGTATGCTTATCATCAGATAGAGGTACATCCTGATGACCAGTACAAGACGACATTCCGGACTAGGTATGGGCATTATGAGTTTATATTTATGCCTTTTGGACTAACCAACGCGCCAACAACATTCCAGCGTTGTATGAACGATTTGTTTAGGCCTTGGTTAGATAGGTTTGTAGTCGTATACTTAGACGATATCTTAGTTTTTAGTAAGACCCTCCAGGAGCATGAGGGCCATCTGAGGCAGGTCTTGGAGAAGCTGAGAGAAGCGAACTTCAAGATCAACGCAAAGAAGTGTGAGTGGGCAAAGACACAAGTTTTGTACTTGGGCCACGTCTTAGATGGAGATGGCATAAAGCCTAAGGACAATAAAATAGCAACGATCAGAGATTGGCCGACGCCCCGCACGTTGACAGAATTGCGATCGTTCCTAGGCCTAGCCAACTACTATAGAAAGTTTGTGAGGAACTTCTCCCTTCGCATGTTGTTAAAGAAAGAAGCAATTTGGGAATGGGATAGAGACTGTACTTCGGCCCTAAAGAAGTTAAAAAGGGCCTTGATAGAGTATCCAGTCCTCAAGGTAGTCGATCCGTCTTTGCCATTTGTCGTCACCACTGACGCAAGTCAGTATGGGATAGGTGTTGTGTTACAGGATGCGTTCAGAGAAGGTTGCGACATCTACCTACGAGAGGGAACTCTACACTCTCAGGCAAGCTTTAGACCATTGGAAACATTACTTGCTTGGGAGGCACTTCAAAGTCTATTCAGACCACGAGACGTTGAGGTGGCTGAAGACACAGGCCAAGATGACACCTAAGCTTACTAGGTGGGCCGCAAAGATAGATCAATTCGACTTTGAGCTCAATCCAGTTAAAGGAAAATATAATGTAGTTGCAGATGCTTTAAGTAGGAGGGATGATTACTTTGGGGCGATCGTTCACTATCTAGATATAGTACGAGACCTGCAACAGAAAGTTAAGGAAGCCTATGCGCAAGATCCTATTTATAGTGATCTCCTCAAGAGAGTTAAGGAGTCTCCAGACTCTGAGCCAGACTACAGCACTACAGACGGGTTACTATTCGAGAAGACTAACGTAGATGGCCGCTTGTGCGTTCCCAATAGTGAAGAGATTTGTAGCTTGATTTTAGGGGAATGCCATGATACAGAGGGACACTTCGGTTGGCAAAAGACATTGGCTAACCTTGTTCGCGCATATACGTGGCCTGGCATGAAGGCCGACTCCATAGAGTATGTACCCAGTTGTAAGGTATGCCAACGGAATAAGACCACTACGTGAGCTCCTCTTGGTCTTCTCAAACCCTTGCCTATTCCCACAGGACCCGGAGATTATGTGTCCATTGACTTTATGGATACCCGGGTCAAGAGTAGGCATGGCAAGAGCCAAGTCATGGTTATAGTTGATAGATTTAGTAAATATGCAGTTTTTGTTCCTTTACCCACAGAGGCACGTTATAGACAAGTTCTTTGATCATTGGGTCAGTGAACATGGTCTCCCGCTGTCAATAGTTAGTGACATAAATACTAGGTACACTAATCAAACCTGGCAGGAGTTGACGAGAGTCTATGGCTACTGGCCGCCATCCTGAGAGTAACGGTCAGACTGAACAGATGAACAAAATCCTGGAGCAAGTTCTCAAAATGTTTATGAGACCTGATCAGCTTAACTGGGATGAGATGCTTCCCAAGGTAGCCAGCGCATACAATAACAGCGTGCACTTAGCAACGTGTCGCACTCCCAACGAGTTACATAAGTCCTTTAGACCACATAGACTGTTTGAGTGACTGATCCGGGATCAGATTCAAAGGTTACCGCCCGGTACTAGGGAGTTTGCACTAGA